GAATTTTTTTGTAGTGTAACCTTTTTAGGTGCAAAAAACATGAAGTTTAATACATAGTTGGCAATCTTGCCACCCACTAATGGAGACAACAAACGGATTACTAACAGGACACACTGGTTTTACTAAATTTCTTTACCCATCTTACGTTTCCCTGTTCCTAAAATCTTTGCAACTATTTCAAAATTCAAAATATTATGGAAAATGCTTGGTTTGAGCTGCATATAGTCACAAATCGGCCACCATGTCTTCAATAGGTAAGAGTGGAGCATATGTCTACTGAAATGACTTCTATATGCGACCATGGTATGAAAATGATAAAGTTAATCTATAACTATTTTCCTTAGATACTACTAAGAAAGACACAGACAAAAATGTGACTTAGTACTATTAGTAATTATTTTTGTGTTCAAAGTTTACACTGCAATCACTTACATATAATTACTATGATGTAAATTTTAAACACAATTATAATCACTAAAAGTTACTAAGTCACATTTTTTCATCTTTTTTCAGAAGTAATATCAGGAGATTTTTTCTAATTTATATAATTGTAGCATGTGATGGATCATCATTGGATAAATGGCACCCATGGTGGGAACAACCTCCCCCCCCCCTCCACACTCACCTGAGTCGGGCTGACGAGAGTAGTTTTTTATTTGTTTTTTATTTTTATAAAAAATATATATCAAAATTGATAAATTTTGATAAAATATCTAAAATTGTATATATCTAAAATTTTATATATATATCACACCAATATTGTATATATATCTAAAATTTTCGGATAAAATATGAAGATCCGACTATTAGATAGATCGAGAGACTAAAATTTAAATACCTTGTTTACAATTTTTTCTGCACCTTTCAATTATTGTTTCCACAAACAGATCTAAATTAACAAAAAATAGACTCTAACTTTATTTATTTTTACATCAAAATGTTTGAGTTTTTAAATAATAATTATTCATAAAAAGTATTTGCAAAAAAAGAGATTTTTATAATAATACAAGTAATTAAGGATGCAATTTGAAAATTCTCGAATCGGATGTGAATCAGCTTCTAGCATGAGAACTTGTACTTGAATTTCACATTTTTTTACAAAATCTTCTTCTCCATTTTTCGTTTCCCTTTCTTTCCTTGGGGCTTGGGCGGGAAAGTGTTTTAGGGGATAAGGATGTCGGTCAGTCCATGTTTCAGCATCTTCACCCGGCTGATGTCGCAGACCCAACTACTCTTCATCGCCACGTAATTACTAATTAGTTACCCACGTCAATGGTCTCATGACCATTGATAGTCTGCACTCTGCAAGCAACTTAGTTAGTTTCTACTATGAATTTAGTTATCTCCGTTCGACCGTTTGGTGGCTTGGTGCTTCAGTTAGTGAGTGGCTGGAGTGCCATTTCAGCAGACACGTGCTCCACTCTTACCTCAAATGAAGGACACGTGGTGACCGATTTGTAACTATGGAATCCAAACCAAGCATTTTCCATAATATTTGGAATTTTGAAATAGTTGTAAAGGTTTTTGGAATAAGGAAACGTAATATGGGTAAACAAATTAAGAAAAGAGCATATGATACTTTTCGGTCCTAAAAAAAGGTTAGTGTCTTATCTGCACTTTTACCCCTACCATAGTGGCCAACTTGCCCCCTTTCCCCTTTTATAATACTACCTCCATCCCGCTAAGATTGTTCCATTTTACCTTTTCGGTTCGTCCCACTAAGATTGTCTCATACAAAATTTGGTAAAGTTTATGTGACTCTAAATCATTCTTACTTTGTTTTTTCTTTATCAATTCAATATCAACCACATACATCACTTTTTATTAATTTGCGTGTCACTCCCTCTTGTTCCATTGTTAGTGAGACAGATGGAGTAGTATATTTAACGAAGAGTATTTTTCATATAATAAATATTTTCATATATATCAATATATTATCAATCATAGTTTAACATCATTAATGAAAAAGTCCAAGACGGCTAAGTGGCTAACTCAATGGGTCAAAAAGAGTACGAAAAAATTGAAAATGTGACAAATTTTAAAACTAACAATAGCAATGTCAAAATGTGATTAGCAATGGTAATAACATATAACTGAAACGAAGGTAAATATTCAATAACAATACATAATGATACTGTTGAAAGAATGACACAATGTCACATGAACGTTACAAATACCAAACCAAACAATGACACATTTTGACAATTCAAATAGACAATGTCGGAATGATATTATTTCATATACGGAGTACTAAAGGTTAAAAATATGACAAAACTTTACACTAGCAACAGCAATGACAAAATGTGATTAACAATTGCAAATATAATCAAACGGAATAAAATATTGAATAACACTACATGTGACATTGTTGAAAGGAGAAAATGTCATAAATATTTAACCAAAAATGACCCAGTTTCACAATTCAACCAAACAATGTCACATTGAAATAATCTCAGAGTAAAAAATTAAAGTCAGACAAAATTTGACACTGACATATAGCAATGTCAAAATGTGATTAACAATAGCAAATATAATTAAAACAAAAGCAACTATTCAATAACAATACATGTGACATTGTTGAAAGAAGGATAAAATGTCATTCGAATGTCACAAATACTAAATCAAACAATGACACATTTTATTTTTAGCAATTCACACAATGTCACGGTGAAACAATTTCAGAGTGAAAAGTTGAAAATTGTACAAATTTTCAGACTAACAATTGCAATGTCAAAAGTAATTGCTACTCCAAGCCATTACTTTTACCTTTACCATTACTCATACATTCTTCAAAAAAATTATCATTTCCGGATGCCCCATTATATTTTCACCACTTATGGACTTATGGTCAGTAGAATATGTTTCTTGAATAAAATAAGCACTACAAAGGAAATTAAAGAAAATAATAGTGCAAAGCAGAATTTAGGAAAAATTGTGGCCCTCGTACTATGCAAGAAAAGTCGATTAAACTCCCGTACTTTGAAAATACTCAATTAAACCCTTCAAATTAGCTATTTTGTAGGTAATCAACAAGTTTCCACGCAGTGATCTGGTCACTCCAATCCCGGACCCATTGGGTTTCTTCCTAGCCGGCAGCTATCCAATCATTTGTTTCCCAACCAGCTTCTTACCAATTCAGTCAGAGCTATGTTATGTCAATAACTTAAAATCCAAGGGATCTGTCCAATAACATGTTATCTTCTGAAATACCATCCACATTCGCAGAGCATAAGAATCTCACACTTATGCACCTTTTTCAGAATAAACTTCACGGGCCAATAGCAGACTCCATTGGTGATTTGCCACAATCGGAGGTTCTTCAGCTATGGGAAAACAATTTCAATCGAAGCATTCCACAGGAATTGGGTAAAATTGGCAAGGTTCAGGTGGTCGATCTCGGTCCCAACAAATTGACTGATGTTTGCCCCCCAAATTTGGGTACTGAGAAAAGGATACAGACCCTGATTACTCTTGTAAACTTCCTGTTTTGGTCCCATTCGGGAATCTCTCGACCGGCATCACATTCGCTGGCATGCTCTTAATCCAGCCCTTCTTTGCCAGAGAGGAGCATATGGGGTCGGAGCTGCGATTAAGACGAGGCATACTGGTGGCTCTGGAAATCATGGACGGGGCATGGAGAAGGTTCTTGCCGGAGGAAGCGAGCAAAGAGCACGAGGCAGCGCCACTAGGGGTGGACTCGGGTCGGGCCGCCTGGCCCAGAACCGGACCGGCCTGGTACTGTTTGGGCCCGGCCCGGTACCCGGTCTTGGGGCCAGTTCGGGCCAACCGGAACCGCTCTAATCTTGGTGCGGGCTCGGGCCCCCTAAAATGCGAACCGGCCTGGCCAGTTTGGCCCTAATTTATTTATTTTTTGTTTTTTCAATTTTTTTTGTTTCTACCGGGTTGGGCTGGGTGTTTTGGGGGGGTTTGGGGTGGGGGGGATGGGGGGGGTCGGGGGTTATTTAGAAAATCAAAAGAAAATAAAAAAAAAACATTGAACCGGAACCGACCCGGCCCGGAACCGCCGGCTACCCGGGCCGGTTCCGGTTCCACCATTCCCAAATAAAAGCCCGGCCGGGCCCAGGCCCAAACCGGAACCGGCCCGGGTCCATCCCTAAGCGCCACCTCAAGTAAGGCGAAAGCCAATGAAGAGAGAGGATGTTTTGGACTCTAGATTTTGCAGGCTATATTAGAAAGGGAACGGGGAGAGAGGTAGACAGAAAGAAACAAACAAAAAGAAATAAGAAGAAAAGAAAGGGGAAAGGAAAAGGAAAACAAACTCATTGCAACATGGACCATCACCTAATGAGAAACTTTAAATTTTCCTAACTAAACTATGTATGTTCATAAACTTCACGGGTCAATACCAGAGTCCATGTAGGGATTATTTTGTTCCATTTACAATACCACTTCATTAGTACCAACAAATATGTAATGTTTGTCATTTCCTCTTGAATAGAATCACCTAATGTTTGTCGTTGACTCCCACCTCATAAGTTGTTATGTTTTCTTTTTCACCCTATTGAATATGGGAATGAAGCATCACCCCCCCAGGCCCCTCCCTCTGACCGCCCCTGGGGTAAAGCTAAAATATAAAAAATAAAAAATAAAAAATAAAAAATATAGGAATAAAGCCTCAAAGGCTGAAAAATATGGTTTTATGGATCTATGAGTATGAAGAATGATACTTCGTACTTTGTGACTGTTCAAATCAGCATCTCCATTAATGTGATGTTATAAATAGTTTTGTTTCGCTGAAATTTAAGTGTTTTAAGGATTTCATCACACTAACGGTTTTAACTGTCAACACACATGTGCCAAGTACCTTGTGGTATGAAGACATCACAGTGGCACTTCCAAAGGGTCACAGGTTCAAATCCCATCCCAGTTCAAGGATGTTGGCATTAACATTGAGCACATACTATATAGGTAAGAACGAATTGTCCCAAAAATAAACTGTCAACACACATGTTTTCTCACATACGATAGTATATAGCTTAGTAAGTTGTAACCCTCAGTTTATATTTCCTTCTTCCATTGAATAAATATAGTTGATTTAAGTTTACAACTGATACTAGAATGAAACGAAGCTTTAATATAAGAGATAGCTCATTTAAAATGTCGAGGTTGACATGAAGGTGTAACAGTAAAGAACAGTAGAGCACAATGTCAAATTAGTTGTAACGCTCAAACTTGATTTAAATTTGAACAATATAAACTCCACTGGGTAAGCACTATAATTACAACAAAGAGGGAGACGAGCATACTCAAGGAAAGTGAAGTATCTGCTCTTCTGCAGTCACCTAAAATAGAGACATGTCAGGGGGAGGTCCATACACACTCTTCCAAGAAAACGGGACAATCCATTTGCCGCCCTCATTGCCTTCATTCAATTAAACAAACAGCGAAAAAAATACTCATTAGCATAGCTCCCGTCCATCCTAATATAAATTCATCTCATCTACTTATTTGACATTAATAACAATAGATTTAATGTTTAGTGATTCATCTATCACCTTTTCCAATCCATTTGATCACATTTAAAGATTTCCAAAGTTCTAAATCCATCAAAACATTGATATTTCACATTCTTTGGTGCGTATTTTGTAACAGCCCTAACAGGTATTCAGGTTTGTTTGCCACAGAAAATGCTCTACGAATAGAAAATGGGGAGGAAAGTATAGGAGAATTTAGAAGAAGAAAATTTCTTGAAAAAAATAAAAATTGATTCAAACGTAACAAATCTAATTTTAATGTGTTTCAAATTTATTTATTTTCATTATATAAATACTAATAATAAAATAAAAGTATCAAATCATATTTCACTTTAATTTTAATTTTTTGAAAAAAATCCAAACAAAAGAAAATAACCTACGTGCGTATTTTCATTCAATTCCTGGCATTATTTAATTCCAAATGACCTTTGAACTGCTTTAAGAATTCATTTAATGGAATGTTTTTACACTAATCACAAAACTTCCCCTCATTAATCTTAGTATCGTTAAATAACTTGGATACTAATTACTAAATGAAAGTGAGCTCCTAGGATAGGAAATTGTGATGTTTTAATAATCATTAATAGAAAATTGCAGAAGTAGATGGATAATCAGGGGCGGAAAGGCAAAAACCATCCAAAACATTCTTGGATTTATAAAATGACACTTCATAAGAACCAGAAAAGGTCCTCTAAAGAGACAATTAAAATGATCCGGATGGACTGGTTAGTTAATTAATACATGCTCCCTGCATTCACACCATGTTCGAGTTCACACGGAGTTTACGAAAATAGAATTGTGTTTGACATTTGTTTGGAAATTCAATGACAAGAATCACAAGATTATGTCGAGACAAACCAAAAAGGAAAGCAAGAATATTAAAAGGGGTGAAGGTAGTATATGTTAAAGAATCACAACACTGTTTTTTAATCATCTACACAGGAAAAGTAACAAGAAAGTGGATGGATTGCATAGATTGAACCACTGTTATTAAATGTATCATGGATGGGTAGGGTTTCTTAATGACTTCTTAGAGGGTCTAGTGTGCAATCCAAAGAAGAAGAAAATGACACAGATGACAAAACTATGGTACAGAGTAGAACTTGTTCTATTGTACACATGGGGGGGTAGAAATGTAAATGTAAAAAACTTGCCTTGGAAACTTTTAGCCGGGAGCCTGAGAATTTGAGACGCTGCTTCAGCCAAATGAAAAGCTTCAGGTATGTTGTCTCCCTCTGAGCAATAACAGAAGAGGCAGGTAACCTTCATACCTTTGGCCTAGTCCAAGAAACCAGCAATCGTATATGTGAAATTCAGTCAAACAAGAAGGATGCGAAGTAACAAAACAATTTAACCCATAGAGAAGAACCAGTCAATCAGCCATAAACATCTCTAAACTAGGAGCAAGATACAATTAGGTACCAAACAAGAAAAAATATCATTTCATTTTTAAAGAGCCTGTAGGTTATGGTCTGTTTCGATATTAAAAAACAATACAAAAAAGAGTAACTTTCATCAAATATGGACTGAAACAGTGAATACACACATTGCTACTAAATTATAAAAATCGGACGGGACATTAAGAAAGACAATTGAAAAAGAACTAACCTTAAAACAAGAGAAAAGTGCGGCAAAGGGTAAGCTTGCAATGTAATCTTCATCTCCAAGCTCTTCATAAGGCAACTCTTTTTCCTCCAGGTCACTAGCTTCAATCAAATTGCTTAGGTACTTCCACATCCTCTGAGAAGGATTATATTCTTTCAGCCTCTTGAATCCAAGTCTTTCACATTCATCCTCCTTTCCATCTATGTTGGAACCAGATAGATAATATGTCTGCAAACCACTGAATACTAGAAGTTGTTGGTAACTCGGTAATTTTCATATACTCCAACTTAAACTTGTTCATGAAAACCCAAGGACTAGGAAATATTAAAAGGAACTCTTGGAACAGTGAGACCTCTAAAAAAATCACGGGAACCTAGGCAAATCCTACCTCCGTGCAAAAAAAAATCCTTTTTCACCAAGGTACAACTTTTAAGCTTTGTAGGTGCAAGTGTGCAACTATCATAAATCATGAATCCTACTCATTTAAATTTCCTTTTTGTTGGCTTAACAAATTTATCATGTATATCTTGTCTATGACTCTTTACAGAAGTTGCATGAAAAGTTAGTCTTGTTTGATAACACATGCCTCCTCTTTGGAGAAAAATTAGGCTTTGAAACATGACTCTGGGAGTAGTAAGTCTAAAAGCTACATCTGAATTCATCATTGGTGTGACTCAGTAAAATAGCATAGAATTTACATACAAGTTGTAATCAATACCTAGACATATCAATGCTTTGCCATCTCCCGAAATCCAAGCTAGATAGCAAAACAACATGCTGTATTCTACTAGCAGCAGCAAAGTTTGCTAAATTCTTGGCAAATGGAACCATCATGCCCTGTTTAATAAGCCATTAGCACAGATATGCCATGTATGTATAAAAGATCTCAAAAACACTTCAGCATGTCACAAACAACCACTAAAATTACGATTTGATATAATGAATTACATGTCCGACATATCCATAAAATTCCAAATAAAATGTTACAGCACACTATTTATATACAGATGATGGGAAAATCTATGAGCATATGGCTATGAAGGTATTTTCTTTAATCGATATCATATCAGAAGTGATGACAACCTCCAATATTTTTCCTTGTTGAAGGAGAATGTGATTGTAAAAGCAAAATTCAAGTCATATTTGTATATGTAATGAATGCTCTAATATTCACCATTCCATATGCCACATCTTGAAGCAATTGTCCATTACATATGTTGAATCTTCAGATCCACATTTACTGTCTAACAAAGACATGCTTCTATAAAAATATGTCTCACTTATATGCTAACATAGTATTTTAAGTTTAAAAAATGTAGATATATAGTACTTTGAAGTATTTCTAATCATGCAGGGAATGTTTTTATGCAAAGTTCCTGCGTAATGCAGCAAGTTGAGCACTTTTGGTCCATGACTGCATGGAAAGATCTCCAAGCTTCTTTCATTAGAAAGTCACTACTCTTTTGTGTCCCTATAATTCCATGCCAGTTTAGTTACACAAAGTACTCATTATTTGAAAATTCTAAAAACCATCACAAATTCTTCAATCTGTAGCATCTATTGGATGTACATCCATGATGAAGATCAAGATTCTACCTTAAGGACGGGAGACCTCTGTTGCAAGATGCTCAATCCACTAGAACAGGATTCGTAAACTGTCAAATGAAAAAATCTAAAAACCATTAATCTTTGTACGGAAAAGTTAAGCTCTACATATCAAACATAATTAAAAGCAATGTTACCAAAATCATGGAAATACAAATGAACATAGTAATGCATAAATTGAGATTGACATGCGCTTCGTAAGGGACCTGTGAAGCAGAAAGATACCTTCAAGAGGAAGAGCAAGCTGACCGGGTGGAGTAGCTGAATAAGCATCATTGCCAACGCAAGGAAGAACATTCGGGTCATCTATGAACCCGACCCGATGAGCACTAAGAGATGATACAAACAAATCCACAGCAAGCTGTCCAACGTTCCCAATCGAAAGCGCCGGCTACGTGAAACAAAAGAATTCCGGTCAAATGTAGAAACAGGAGGAATAAAATTCGAGAGGAATTCTAGAACGAAACCCTAGAAACAAACCAGCAGCAGAGTGCCGCATTTTTCACTGAGTCGTTCCCCTTCTCCAACGTAAAACTCCATCTTTTACTGCGTCTACGAAACTTTAGTTCGCTCCTTTGGGCGTAATACTTAACTGAGCTGAGGTTCTTCCGAGCAAGAAAGAAAGGCCATATCAATGGTTTCTTCCGAGCAGCTGAGGTTCTTGGACAGTAAGAAAGGCCAATTTTTTGATAAAGAAAGCTTAGGTGGCGTGGGCCATATCAATATGGTTTAACACTACTTTAACCAAAGTACCAAACTGAATCCTACTAAACTGAATTCAATTTGGTCTATAGGGCTCGTTTGCATTTTGAGTCTTTTGATAGCCTTAGATTTTCCAAAATGTTGAATCCCAACTCATTTCACACCCGGACAAATAATGGTGATTTCCACAATTTTAACGGTAGTAGGCCTTGTATTTGTATGCATCAGAAGCGCGGTCCAGCACATAAGAGACGAGACCTCCACACGATCGTTGCAGATTTCAATTCTTAATTATTGTTCAACTTTCTCACCATTTTACCAGTTGAGCTATCTGTGTGGATTATTGCAGCGTTTCATGCTTTAATAGAATTGAATGTCATTTTTTGCTGAAACGTCACTAGTCAAACATACCCTATGTGAAATTTGGTTTGATTTTAGTAGTATTTCTTCAAACTCGTATCTAATCGATCTGAAGCAAAATCGAGAAAAACCTAATAAAACTTAACCAACTAAAGAAATTCCATAAATTCATCATATACTATTAAAAATAACAAATCCAAAACAAACAGTATGGTTTCAAATCATTCGAACATGTTTTTGTATATAAAAAATTCTTGCAATAACGACCACTTGGGCAGACAGCATTGCCACTGCATCCCTGTTCTAGGATATCTGTTGGCAGATATTTGAAGAATTTTGTTAAATATGTTGGCGGAGATCCACAAGGGTTGAGGCTACTCGCTTGCCTCTGGTATGCCAAAAGTGGCATTGGTATTGACATAAGGTTTTGGGATAGCAACCACAGTTGCTGCACGGCTGTTCCTTGTTGCGCGTTTCACCATTTTTTGTGGTTGGAAAAGCTTGTCGTAGACTCGTAGGAGAGGATCTAGGCTTGATTCACTATTCTCATTGAGAGCACTAAATGATGGCTTCGCTTACCCGGGAATAGCGGAACCAAGGGAGAACTGGAAAGTGCTAAAGGATTTGATGTATATATATTACATATACAAGTTTGAGATATTTATTTCAGACCCCATTAAAGTTTGGGGTATTTAAATTATTTTCTCTTCCGACAAAATGGTGAAATATTCTGGTTGAATTTGGGCCAAAATAATAGACATGTCTTAGAGGGTACACTAAGACATAAAAAATGAAATGGATTTATGGTGGAAATTGATGGAAATTAAAGTCTTCACACACTCTCTCGATTTAATAAGTAGGAGAATTTTGACTTCGTGCGACCGTGCCTCACTTTTTGGGTGATATAGGCCTTTGCACGCCATTTGTTTTAAAAAATGAGTTTAAACTTAGGAGAAAAAATGAGGTTCAAGCTCCAATGGAATGCAAAGTCAAAATTTTCGCTAAGACTCTAGAAGATGTACAATGGTAATTATTTACCTCTTTAATATCAAACAATCGATTGATTATTATTTATGGCACTGGTGAAGAAAAATGTGCTCTTTAGATTTGTGAGGTTTGTTGCTTTGTGTTAACCTATCTGTTACTTTTGTAATTTGTTTTTCAATCTTAATCTATTTATTTATATATATAAAAAGAGATAGCTCATCAAATTACCATTTTCTCCTCCATTAATCCTACGTGTAGCTCAAACCAACTTTTTCTCATTTGCTATTCTAACGCCACGTGGCTCACTCATGTTTAAGCTTCTTTCTCCCCTCTTAAAAACAAACAAAATGACCGAACGAAACTGTATGCCAGTTTCCATCTTCTCCACACCCTCACCGATCTTTCGCCTAACTTTTCTCACATCTCTCCCAAGCTCCAGCTTCATACAATCGTTAATTTGGGAATTTCACCAAATTTAGAATTCTTCAGTAGGGACATTAGGGTTCATACTCTCGCTGCACGAGTAGATGAGCTATTTTGTAATTCTTCCTTTTCTATATTTTCTCGATTCTCTATAATTAAACCATGCTTATTTCTCTCTAAACCCATTTTTATTTGTGTCTGAGTGTAGTTTTCATTCACATCAACCCAACTTTGCAAACACAAATCCTTCTGTACCTAAGTAGCAGAGGTACCCTCTATTCTTCCTTTCTGTATTTCTCGATTCTCTGTGAATGGTGCTTCAGTCCAAAGACTAATTGTCTGACAGATGTTGCCTCTATATATAAATTTAAGTATTAAAGGTAAAATCAAAGTCATTTTTTTGTTAAACAGATGTTGCCAGAGACTTTCTATATAAGTCTGAATTGCCTATAAAACAAATGTGTTTTACAGGGAGATGTAACATTATATTTTTGGCTTAAATGTTTTAGTCCTGCAAATGAAGCATTATTCATTTATGATTTTGTTATTACCTCTGCAATTTTTAGACATTCTCTAACTCTAAAGATTTCTTTACAAAACATATGTTGCTAGAGACTTTTTTTATAATGCGTTTTTTTTTGGGTCTGTATTTTTTATTTTTTTGTTGATAGCATTAAACAAAGTTTTGACTTTTACTTTTCTACATATAAGGTGTTTGATGAAATGCTTAAGTGAGTTTTGACTTTTACGTTCTTCATATTAGTATTGTTCTTATTATTAGTTGTAACATGTGAGTCTGAGTAAGATATGTATCTACCTCCCCCTGTTTTCATTGGTTTATAACATAGAGGTGATATCACTTGCTTGATTCATGAGTTTTCATAGAGCTAATGTGGCTGCCATGAAACTCCCTTTTAAGAGGCATTACATTTCCTATTCTTTTTCAATTGCAAATCAATTTCATGACTTATCTTACAAAGATCAAACTTTATGCTCTTTAAACATTTATTTAAGGTTTTCACTGCATTAGTGACTGAACTTTCAAAACATTGTATGTCACTAGGTAATTTTAATTTTACTTTTGAAATGATTTGTGTTAATAACTCAATATCTACAGAAGTTATATTTATGCTCTTTACTTGGTCTTTTTTTCAGATAATAATTGGCATTTTGGCATTTTGGAGTACTTTAGCAGAAATAGATAACCGTGTTTGTTCCCCCTGGAAGATAAACACTAAAATATAGGCTATTGAAACTCTATGCACTTTCGAGCAATACCCACCAATGTTTTTTTAAAACTTTTCAGCTCATCCTATATTACTATAATAATGGTGGTAAGATTAAATTTAAAAATCTGGGAAGTTGCTTGATGAGTTGCTCAAAAGGGCTTTGGCATTTAGGATCAAGATACACCAGCCTATAGTGCTGCATCTGTACTTTAAGTTTCCAATTCTAATGAGTTGGTGTAGATTAGTTTTCCCTATAGACTCTTCATTAAATATTTATTGTATGGGCGTATACATTATAGTACTAGCTTATTGAGAGCCACATATTCAAAAAAGATTCAACTTGAATTTTAAATTGGAGTTAAAAAAAAAACAATCCGACTATGGCATACAAGTCTCATTCCTTTGGGTTAGTTTAGTTGATTCACATTTTGATATACTGTTCATTCATGAAAAGGTAACATACTAATGGTTTGCTTTCTCAATTGTCCTTCCAAGTTGTTAAAATGACATTTTAGTTTCAAGTTATTTAAAAGCAACTCAGAAATATTTTAGAAGATGGCAATGCAAGTGGCAATAGATATGACTCCAATACTATATTCATTATTGAAGGAAATCATTTTAGAAGATGCTTACAATCAAATTGACTATGTAAACTAATAAATTTTGTTACACCATTGAAATTTGGTCATTTTCTGCTTAACAATTAGCGATATTATTAAAAATTCATTTCAAAAGAGTTGTTAATAAATGTCATTTTTGTTAGTTTTTTAAACATTTTAGTTTTAAATATTTAGGTTTGTGTAGTGCTGCTGATTTGGACATGATTTCAGCATTTTTAGCAACAGACTCCTCATTTGCATATTAGGGTGGCATTATTTGGAGAATGAAAAGACAACTGAAATTGCATGATATGTATGATAGATTCATGGAAGAGAATTATGTCCGCACAATAGTCGAGATCTACATCTTCAAACAGGCTAATGCTCCACTTTCCGGTTAGTTTCAAGGACCTCAGAATGTCAGAATATGTCCTTAGTCTTCATCTTCCATGTGATGCAAATCTATAAAGTAGTGATCTAAGAGAGAATAAAGTTACAACTAACTCATCATTTCCCATCAAATGAGAGAATTGCATGTTTATTCGGGAAGAAGTTGTCTGTTATAACATACGGAGTATAAAGTTATTAACTTAGAAGAGAAAATAATACCATGAAACTACATAATACAGTCACATGTAGCTAAACATCAGAAATGACTCTCGATTCTCTCCGTATGCTAGATTACCGCACCCGGCTCTTCACTCAATCTAGGAGACTTTCGATTCAGTACCCAAGTAGTAGAGGTACTCTCTGCCTCTTTACTTTGTTGTTAATTTATACATCCAGTTATTTCTTCATTCATTGTTCTCAGTTATCTGTCTTCATTCATTCTTCTCGGTTATGTGTAAATACAATTCCGTTCAACAATCATTTATTTGTTTCTATTTGATATGTTGTGCACATATGTTGTTTGATTAAATGTTTACATATACGGAGTATAATTTTATGGTATTTAGACTCATATATGATGTTTAACAGAGTATATATGTGTGTAGCTAGATTTCATTTCAAATCTGGTCGATTGTTTGTACTTTTGACACCTATATGAAGTAGAATTTCTTCAATAATAATGGTGTTAAGATTAAATTTAAAAATCTGAAAAATTGCTTCCGATTATGTGTTTATACGGCATGGTTTTTTAGGGTAATCATATTATTATAACACATCTGAAACATTGCTTCAGGTTATGTGTTTATACGGCATGATTATCTAGGATAATCATATTATGATAACACATTGCCACTTAGAACAGACCTGTCCTCACAATTCAGAGAGATTATTTTAAAGCTCCACATACTTAAGTTGTTTATTTGATGCTTTGAATGAGCATATTTCAATGTAGCATGGAGTTGAAAAAAAATGGTACCTCTAATCAGTTCATTTGCCAT